GAACTACTGCCCCTGGGAAGTATCAACCAGACGAGCCTGACAGGGCCTGACAGTTCTGGACGCAGCCAAAATCTGCCTTGTGTCAGCCATCCAGCGGGCACGGAGGTGGGACGGGAGACTTCCCGTGCATGGCGCACGCGGCCAGAAAATCCAGCCGGAAGCCCTCGAGGAGAGCCGTGGAGCTTCGTGTGTGTCGAGCAGTGCAGGCGTTGGCGTCGGCACCTCCGGCGCCGCCATGATCCCCCCTGCAGCGGAGGCAGGCTTCCACGAAATGTTCTTAGAACATGTCTGGCCGGGACTGTCCTGTTTTACCACATCGGGTTTATGGTATGAGAGCATCGTTTTTGTTCTTAGAACATCCTTTATGTTCTAAGAACATTCCGTGGTAGGCAGTTCGAGTGCGGCCTCCTGGGCCAGCCGCGCGAACGCGGGGCTCAGCAGGCCGGCCCGCTCGCTGCACGCTCGACGGGGGCGTGACCGACACCTCGGGCGACCAGTGGCCGCCCGAGCCGCTGTGAGCTCATGGGTCAAGCAGTGGCGAAGCGTCCTGGTGTGCCTCTAGACCTACCAAACAATGTTCTGAGAACCCTCTGTGGTTTCCACGAACTGTTCTTAGAACATTTCTGGCAGGGACCGTCCTGTTTTGACACATCGGGTTGATGGTATAAGAGCATCGCATTCTGTCATTGGGGCATTTTTGTGTTCTGACAACGTTCCGTGGTAGGCCTATAGGAATGCCGGGACGGTCGGTTCCTGATCAAATGGAGGAAACGCGGGACCGGCGCAAGGAGACCGAGGACGAGATACGCAGAGATTCGCGCATGATTTTGTGAGGGGCCATGGCGTTGCAAGAGCATGTTAATGTGTCGGGATGTGTGTTTTCGATGTGCGTTGTTACCTATTCAATACAGCAGTCGAAGCGAAGGAAGAAGGGGCAGCACCAATAGCAGGAAAATGAGCCAGGAGCCACGAGAAGGGAGTGGCGCAAGAGAAGGACACCGAGGAACTGGAGGAAGATCAGGAAAAAGGGAAGGAGGCGGCGGCACGATTTGGGGGAGAGATCAAGTGGAAGGAGGAACTGGAGGTGGAGAACGAGAAAGGGATGATGAGACAGGACGAGGAGGAACTAAGAGGGGAGAGAGAGAGAGAGAAAGAGAGAGAGAGAGAGAAAAAAAAAAGATAGAGAGAGAAAGAAAGAAAGAAAGATAAGACAAAAATACATCAAGAAACAACAAACAAACAGGAGGAACAGAGCCAGTGAGGAGAGGGAGCAGGAATGAGGAATAGGAGGAGGAGGAGGAGGAGAAAAAGGAAATGGCAACGGGAAGAGTGGACGGCAGGAGGAAAAGGTGGAGGAAGCAGGAGGAGGCAGAAGAAGGAATACGAAGGAACAGGAGGAAGAGGAGGGTAGAGGGAGGGAGGGAGGGAGGGAGGAAGGGGGAGGTGGAGGAGGAGGAGGAGGAGGAGGAGGAGGAGGAGGAGGAGGAGCAGCAAGAGGAAGAGTGCGGCAGGACGAGGTGGCAGGAAAAGGCGCCGTGCGGCAGGCCCGCCGGCAAGGTGAAGAAGGCCGGCGCCAAGCCCGAACAGTGGCACGTCTGCTGGGAGCGTTTCGGGACCGCTGGGGGACCAACGAACTAGGGGGAGTGGCCGGGGTTCCTCCTGGCAGCGTGCACGCCTCTGCGCAGGCCTTGGCAGTTCCCTCGATGAGATGTCGAAGGGCTGTCGAGTCTCTGCTGCATAAGACTCGTGCAAGGGAAGTACGCATACGCTCTACATTTGCACCTTAGCGGGCGCATTAACGTTGACCCCCCTCATGCGGATGTCCTGTCCTGTCCTTCTCGCCCTTCTTCGTCTTCTTGTTATCCCCCTCTCTTTACATAAACAAGTGGCACGTGTGTGCCCAGGCTCATACAAATTATCCCGGCAAAGCAACCTAACAGCGATGTGTAGAAGCATGTCTGAAAGCATTCCCCTTAAGATTCAGATGAAAATCCAGTTGTAGAATTCTGCTGTTCTCGCAGTCGTAGTCGCATTCGCGATGACAGTCGCAGCGGCAACGGCAGTCGCAGTCACAGCCTCAGCCGCAGCCTGCCTCAGCCTCAGCCTCAGCCTGCCTCAGCCTCAGCCTGCCTCAGCCTCAGCCTCAGCCTGCTTCAGCCTCAGCCTCAGTCTGCCTTTAGCCTCGGCCTCAGCCTCAGCCTGCCTCAGCCTCAGCCTGCATCAGCCTCAGCCTCAGCCTCAGCCTCAGCCTCAGCCTGCCTCAGCATCAGCCTGCCTCAGGCTCAGCCTCAGCCTGCCTCAGCCTGTGCCTCAGCCTCAGCCTTCTCCAGCCTCAGCCTTAGCCTGCTTCAGCCTCGGCCTCAGCCTCAGCCTGCCTCAGCCTCAGCCTGCCTCAGCCTCAGCCTCAGCCTGCCTCAGCATTCAAAATGTGGCCCGGGAATGGAGTTCTGGGAACTCGAAGACCACGAAGTGGCCTACAGTTGGCTCCGGGCACCCAACATGTGGCCCGGGAATGGAGTTCTGGAAACTCGAAGACCACGAAGTGGCCTACAGTTGGCTCTGGGCATCCAAAATGTGGCCCCGGAATGGAGTTCTGGGAACTCGAAGACCACGAAGTGGCCTACAGTTGGCTCCGGGCATCCAAAATGTGGCCCGGAATGGAGTTCTGGGAAGTCGAAGAGCACGAAGTGGCCTACAGTTGCTCCGGACATTCAAAGCTTGCAGAATGTGGCCCGGGAATGGATTTCTGAGAGTCGAAGAGCAAGGGGAAAAAAAAAAAAAAAAAAAAAAAAAAAAAAAAAAAAAAAACAAAAAAAAAAAAAAAAAAAAAAAAAAAAAAAAAAAAAAAAAAAAAAAAAAAAAAAAAAAAAAAAAAAAAAAAAAAAAACAAAAAAAAAAAAAAAAAAAAAAAAAAAAAAAAAAAAAAAAAAAAAAAAAAAAAAAAAAAAAAAAAAAAAGGGGGGGGGGGGGGGAAAAAAAAAAAAAAAAAAAAAAAAAAAAAAAAAAAAAAAAAAAAAAAAAAAAAAAAAAAAAAAAAAAAGGGAAAAAAAAAAAAAAAAAAAAAAAAAAAAAAAAAAAAAAAAAAAAAAAAAAAAAAAGTGTGTGACTGTTGGCTTAAAACGACTTCTGCGGCACCCTGTCCGGCACCCGCCCAGACCCCCCTGTGGAGTCTTCTGCTGCTTTCTTTTGACCCTACTAGAAACCTATCAGAACAAGCTGTTAGGTAAAAACTGAAGGGGCGTTTGAAGCAGGAGTGAAATGCAACATCGAAGTCGCACTCGAGCGCAAGTGGGGTTGCCACACCTTGCGATGCGTGTACCAGGGCCCCCAGGAAGCCTTAGGAGGCCCGACTTGGATACCAGAAGAGCCTCCAGGAGGCCCCAGGATTGTGAGTGTTGTGCGTGTGTGTGTGTGTGTGTCTGTGTCTGTGTGTCTGTGTGTCTTTGTGTCTGTGTGTCTGTGTGTCTGTGTGTCTGTGTGTCTGTGTGTGTGCTTGTGATGTATGTTTCGTGTGGTGCGTGCTTTTTGTGCGTTGTAGGTGTTGTGTGTGTTATGTTTGTCTAGCGTGTGATGTGTTGGGCGTGATTTGTGTCTCTGTGTGCATGTAGTTCTGAAGCCCCAGGAGGCCCCAGGAGGCCCCAGGCGGCCTCAGGAGGCCCCAGGAGACCCCAAGAGGCTTCAGGAGGCCCCAAGACGCCGCAGGAGGCCCCAGGAGGCCCCAGGAGGTTTCAGGACACCCCCAGGAGGCTCCGAGGCGGGGTCTGGGGTGCCAGAAGGTTCAGAAGGCCCAGGAGGCCCCAGGAGGTTCCAGGAGGCCCCCAGGAGGCTCCGGGTCTGGGGCTCGATTTTGGAATGATTTTTCAAGCGAAACCGCCATTCACTGAGAATCGGGGTCACAATTATTGAAATTACCATGTGTTTTTGAAGGTTTTATGTTAAAATGTTGAATTTCCCATGTGTTTTTGGACCCTGACGTCGCGATCTGCGTGAGGGGTGCCACCGATGTTCATAATTTCGAGGATGTCCCGAGCGAAACGCCCAGAAAAATCGCGGACGCGTGCGCATTAATCGCCTCTGAGCTCTACTCCCTCGGAGAGGTGCGTATGAGAATACGTATATATACATATTCCGTGCCGTGGCCAGATGATCGGTTCCGGCGGGGGCATGGTGGATACCGCTGGTCCGCGGCTCGCCCCGGCTCTGTTTAACAAGCTCGTAAGCACCTGACTCTCGGCGGTAGCCAGCAGAAGCAGCCGCTGGGAGTGAAAAGGCCCCCCTCTTACCCCGGGAGATGGTAGTTCTTCTGCGGTGCAGAAATGGACAGTCGGAAGCGATCACACAAGATTGACATCGGCCTCCCAGCAGATTCTTTGCACAAGCATCGCAGTTAAATCAAAGGGCAACTCGCACAGCTTTCAGATAGAAAACGCATGCGGGCCTACATTACTTGCAGCAACATGTCTGGTCGCTTGAACCTAGCGCATGTCAAGCGAGGCCCATTTGAACATCGGAAGCCCTCCTCCTTCTCTCCTCCTCCTCCTCCTCCTCCTCCTCCTCCTCCTCCTCCTACCTCCTCCTCCTCCCTCGCTCCTCCTCCTCTGTCCTCCTCCTCATCCTCCTCCTCCTCTCCTCCTCCTCCTCCTCCTCCTGCCTCCCATCCCCCTCCGTCCTCCTCCTCTCCTCCTCCTTCCTCCTCCTTTCCTCCTCCTCCTCCTCCTCCCTCCTCCTCCTCCTCATGTCCTCTTCCTCCTCCTCCTCCTCCTCCTCCTCCTCTTCCTCCTCACTCCTCCTCTCCTCCTCCTCCTCCTCCTCCTCCTCCTCCTCCTCCTCCTCCTCCTCCTCCCTGCCGCTTCATCCTTTTCATCCTCCCTCCTCCTCCCTGCCCCCCCTTGCCCATCCCCGTTCCAGGGCCGCCGATACCTCGACTGGCCCTCCTCCGATGCTGGATCTCCCTTGTGACTTGTGGCAAGAATTTGGCTGTACTTCGTCGGACGCCCAAGGAATGGGGAGCACCTGCAGGCGATAGCCGCGACCGGCGGAGTGGGCGGCAAGGCGGCTGGCGCTAGAAAATCGTTTTACATGCGTGCCAACTTGCCCTCCCCCGCTCCCCTCCACCCCCTGCCACTCCCCCACTACGATCCCACCCCACCCCCGGGAGAGAGAGGGGAGGAGGAGGAGGAGGAGGAGTAGTGAGGAGGAGGAGGAGGAGGAGGAGGAGGAGGAGGAGGAGGAGGAGGAGGAGGAGGAGGAAGAGGAGGAGGAGGAGGAGGAGGAGGAGGAGGTAGGAGGAGGAGGGGGAGAGGAGGAGGAGGAGGAGGAGGAGGAGGAGGGGGAGGAGGAGGAGGAGGAGGAGGAGGAGGAGGAGGAGGAGGAGGAGGAGGATTACTGCAATCCCAAGACGCATCAACGACATTGGAGTAAACCCTCCCTTCCAAGCTTCTTCTTCACAGGCCCTATACAACGGTTCATTTCCACTGAGGGAGCTGCCTCGTTGGAAGACAACCGTTTGAAGACCTTGAACCATGCCACGGGATTCCAACGCCACGGATCAACCTGACTGTTGCGTGTTGACGATCTTGAGTCGTGCCAGAACACCGTTCCTCAGACTTCAACACAGCGAATCAACGTAACCGTTGCGCCTTCATAGTCTTGGTTCCGTCCAAAAACCGTGTGGTATGATGGTCATGGGAATCTGAGAAGCTCTTACAAGTTGTTTAAACGAATGCTCGCGGCGACACGGCGAGAGCCACATGTTGAAAAGGAACCGCTTTCAACCCGTCAAACCGTTACAAGTTTTGAAAAACCAATGTGCGCAGCGCTAAGGTGAGAGCCACATTTTGAAAACCACCCACCCTCAACCCGTAAAACTTTTGCAACTATTGAAAAACGAATGTGCGCGGCGTTAAGGCGAGAGCCACATGTTGAAAACCACACGCCCTCAATCCGTGCAACTCTTGCAAACGTGTACAACGAATGCACGCTTGTGAAACTGTTGCAATGTAAAAGCTTCAAGATCATCAATTTGGAGGGAGTCTCAGGCGAAACGCCCAGCCCGCCCTAAAACTAGCCTCGGGGTGCGACAGGGACAAGTTATTTATAAGGGAATAAGGGAAAGGCATGGAGGAGGAGGAGGAGGAGGAGGAGGAGGAGGAGGCGGAGGCGGAGGAAGGAGGGATGAGGAGGAGGGAGGAGGAGGAAGGAGGAGGCAGGAGGAGGCAGAGGTCACGGCGTCAATGATTCAGCCCACCCCTGGGCTTCGGGCCGCAACCCCCGGCCCAGGCCGGGGGCCAGCCGTCCCCGCTCCGGGGGCCACTCGACGGCCGCCCTCCCGGACTCCCTCACAGAGGAGGAAAGGAGAGCGTTTTTGCTTTACCCCTGGGCCGTAATGCGCGTTATGCCCCCTACCCTCCCCCCCCCTCCCACCCCCAAAACGTAACGCACCCGCCTCAGTGCGTCCCTGCACTGCCGCCCTCCGACCTGCGCATCCCGAGGCGGTCCAGCCCTCCACCGTGCTGGGCAACCTGCTGCGCGCGCTGACGGAGGGCATGCCGGTCAACCTGCGGGGCTTGGCCGCCGAGGCGCAGGAGGAGGAGGAGGAGGAGGAGGAGGAGGAGGAGGAAGAAGAGGAGGAACCAGGAACCAGGAACCAGGAGAAAGAGGAGGAGGAAGAATAGGAGGAGGAACCAGGAACCAGCAGGAGGAGGAGGAGGCGGAGGAGGAGAAGGAGAAAGAGGAGGAGGAGGAGGAGGAGGAGGAGGCAGAGGAGCAGGAGCAGGAGCAGGAGCAGGAGCAGGAGCAGGAGCAGGAGCAGGCGGCGGCCAGACCAGGCTGAGGTCGCGGGGGCCAGGTGGAGCCTTATGGTGGAGGGGAGGGGAACAAAAGCAAGAGCAGGAGGAGGAGGGACGACGGCGGCATCATTCTGCACTCTGATTGGCTACTCTGTTTCAGTATTTGCTTGCACGCCCTCTTCTGCACGCGCCGTCTGCTTGATTTGTTTGTCACTATGCCCACGTCGGCCTCGCATTGATTTTCTCCACATCCTGAGTGGGTTTTTTGTTATCCAATAGCACCCTCCACTTCTGCTATATGACCACTACTACATTACCACACGACCACGAATACAACAACTACCACAACAACTACCACCACCATTTAAAGATTTGCGTGCCCCTCCCACCCCTCCAAGGAGGCCCCGCCAGAGCGAGGAGCGCATCGGATAACCGTAATATCTAAAAAGATGTCGTGTCCTTCCCACCCCGCCAGGGAGGCCCCGCCTGAGCGAGGAGGGCACCGGGGAACCATACTATTCATAAGAGTTCGTGTCCCTCCCACCCCTGTCCAGGGAGGCCCAGCCAGAGCGAGGAGGGCGTCGGGATACCTTTTATCGTGCCCCTCCCACCCCTCCACGGAGTCCCCGCTTGAGCGAGGAGGGCATCGGGGAACCATACTTGTCATAAGATGTCGCAACCCTCCCACCCCTCCAGGGAGGCCGCCAGAGCGAGGATGGTATCACCTAAAAAAATCGTGTCCCTCCCACCCCTCCAAGGCCCCGCCTGAGCGAAGGCCGAGGAGGGCATCGGGACACCATACTAGTCACAAGGTTTCGTGCCCCTCGAGGAGGGTACCCACAATCAAGAGTACACCTCCATGGAGGCCCTGCCAGAGCGATGATGTTATCGGCACACGATATTAGTTACACGGTTTCGTGACCCTCCCACCCCGCTAGGGAGGCCCCGCCAAGAGGGCATCGGCCGGGAGGGCATCGGGATGCCATACAAGTTACACAGTGTCGTGCCCCTCCCACCCCTCCAGGGAGGTCCCGCCAGGAGGGCATTGGATACCCTGCTAATTACACGGTTTCGTGCCCCTCCCACCTCTCCAGGGAGGCCCCGCGAGGTGAGGGGGGTGTCGGGATACCATACATACTAGTTACACGGTGTCGTACCCCTCCCTCCCCGCCAGGGAGGCCCCGCCAGAGCGAGGAGGGCATCGGGATACCATACTATTCACACGGCTTCGTGCCCTTCCCACCCTTCCAGGGAGGCCCTGCCAGAGCGAGGAGGGCGTCGGAATACCATTTTAGTTACGCGGCTTCGTGCCCCTCCCGCCCCATCAGGGAGGCCTCGCCCGACCGAGGAGTGTACCGGGCCGCCATGTCACGCGTCAGCCTCAGATGGAGTCTTTGAGGCGAATATGTTCAGATCGCTAAGCTTTCCGTTCCCGGCCAACGCGCGTAAAAAGCATCGGCGCCATGCACCGCTTACATCATCGCAGTCGCCAGCCATCAAGTCATCATCATCAGCAGCAGCAGCAGTAGCAGCAGCAGTGTCATCAGCATCCTCGTCGTCGTCGTCGTCATCATCATCATCAGCATCATCATTAGCAGCAGCATCACCACCATCATCGTCATCGTCATCATCATCATCATCATCATCAGCAACAGCATCATCATCGCCATTGTCGCTCTCTCCTCCCATTGGCCTTTCGCTCATATCGCTAATTTGAAACACAGTGGTCCCACAAAGCCTTTGGACGTCCTCATGTGGGGAGCCTCGATAGAGTAACTTTATTCTCCCACAGGAATGCTTCAGCCACGTAGCTAAAGTCTGACCAACCTCAAAATGTGGATGGCGGAAGAGGAAGTGTGTTGTCAGGGGTGAGTGCGGTTGTCCTTGGCTGTGGCGTGATGCAGGATGTTTTGGGAGGTTAGGGTGGGATCGTGGGGGTCCCAGGGGAGGAGGAGGAGGAGGAGGAGGACGAGGAGGAGGAGGAGGAGGAGGTGGAGGGGGAGGGGGAGGAAGAGGAGGAGGGGGAGGGGGAGGAGGAGGAGGAGGAGGAGGATGAGGAGGAGGAGGAGGAGGAGGAGGAGGAGGAGGTGGTGGAGGAGGAAGAGGAGGACCGCGGCGGCGGCGGCGAACAGAGGGAGGAGGTGGAGGACGACCGAGAGCAAGAAGAGGAGCAGGAGGACCAAGCGCGGGGGAAGCGTAGAAGGAGGCGCAAGAGCAGGAGAAGCTTCGAGAGCGGGAGGAGCCTCGGGCCGCGCAGAGGCCAGGCGGGCAGGAGCGGGAGGGGTAGCCAGAGGAGCTGGAGGAGGAGGAGCCAGAGGAACAGTACGAGGAGGAAGGGCAGGAGCAAAAATACGAGACGAGAAGAGGCGACGAGAGGAACAGTAGGAGCAGGAGGAGGAGACGACGAGGAGGAGAAGACGAGCAGGAATAGAAGCAGAAGGAGATGAGGAAGAGAAGAGGAGCCAGAGGAGCCAGAGGAGCTAGAGGAGGTCGCCGAAGATGACGACGGCGACGGCGGCGGAAACGAGGCGCCCAGTGCCGGCTGCGCGAAGCCCCCAGACGAAACCGAGTGGGAGAAGATCGAGGAGCCGACCCAGAGCCCTCCCGCTCTTGCTGCTGCGTCGTGTTCCTCCTCCTCCTCGCTGTCATTTTCCTGACGAGTTGAAGGAGACAAAATGAGGAGGGGGGAGAAGGGAGAAGACAGGAAGAGGGGAGGGGAGAAGAAGGGTGCAGGAAGTAGGGGGAGACGGAAGAAACAGGATCAGAGCAGGCCCGGCAGCAGCAGAAATGGGGGCAACAGCATGAATGTTCAGCAGGAGCAGAAGCGGCACCAGGGGCAGGAGCAGGAGGCGGATTGGGAAGGGCGAGGGAAAAAGAGGGCAGGGCGGAGAGAAGAGAACATGACGAAAGATGTGGAGGAGGATGTTGTTGACAAGAGGCAGACGATGATGGAGACGGGGGAGGAAGAGGAGACTGGTAGGAGCGTTGAACAGGGGCCTGAATGGGAGAAGGGAAGGGAGGTGGAGGAGGGGGGACAAAGAGGGAGAGAGAGAGTCGGACGAGGAGCAGGAGGAGGAGGAGGCGGAGGAGGAGCTTCAGCAACAGGAGTCCCAGGAGGAAGAGGTGGAGGAGGACGTGGACGTGCAGGCCGCTTGTGGCGCAGGCCGAGGAGGATGCGCTGTAGCCGCTGCGTCTCGGGCGGCGCGGGGGGGGCGGGGGCTCCCCGCCCGGAGGCCCCACAGCAGGAGCGAGGGGGCTCCACGGGAGAGTCTGACAGCCTGGCGCGGCGATCGGCTGCCGGGCGCCACGGCGGCCGAGAAACCCGCGGCGAAGAGCCAGCGCGGGCCCAGCACTGCGGCAAAACAGGAACGTGCGACAAAGATGTCGACGGTCCTGACAGATCCCCGCGGCCCACAGCGCAGCGACGCCATCACCAGCGAGCACGAGAAGGCGCACACACTGTCGAGATGAAGGGCCAGCTTGCGGCGCTGTCGAGTTTGAGAAGCGGGCCGTTTTACTTCCCAACCCTCCTTGGTTGGGTATTCGTTTTGAATAGAGGACTGCGGTCTCCAGTTCTCCTCCGGCTCCTCCTCCCGCATCCCGTCTCCCGCTCCCCTCTTAGCTCCTCCTGCTTTGTGCGGACCTCCCCATCCCTGGGGGGCTGCGATCTGCGACACTGTCGCCACTTTCGAGGGCTGCTGGTGGGTCCAGCGGAGTGAGGCACCGCGGAGATCTGAGCGAGACCTCGCCGTCCCTGCGATCTGCGACACCGTCGCCACTTTCGAGGGCTGCTGATGGGTCCAGCGGAGTGAGGCACCGCGGGGATCTGAGGTAGACCTCGCCGTCCCTGGGGGGCTGCGATCTGCGACGCTGTCGCCACTTTCGAGGGCTGCTGGTGGGTCCTGCGGACTGAGGCACCGCGGGGATCTGAGCCTGACCTCGCCTTCCCAGGGGGGCTGCGATCTGCGACACCGTCGCCACTTTCGAAGGCTGCTGGTGGGTCCTGCGGGCTGAGGCACCGCGGGGATCTGAGCGAGACCTCGCCGTCCCTGGGGGCTGCGATCTGCGACACCGTCGCCACTTTCGAGGGCTGCTGGTGGCCCTGTGGACTGAGGCACCGCGGGGATCTGAGCGAGACCTCGCCGTCCCTGGGGGGCTGCGATCTGCGACGCTGTCGCCACTTTCGAGGGCTGCTGGTGGGTCATATGGACTGAGGCACCGCGGGGATCTGAGCGAGACTTCGCCGTCCGTGGGGGGCTGCGATCTGCGACACCGTCGCCACTTTCGAGGGTTGCTGGTGGGTCCAGCGGGCTGAGACACCGCGGGGATCTGAGCGAGACCTCGCCGTCCCTGGGGGGCTGCGATCTGCGACACCGTCGCCACTTTCGAGGACTGCTGGTGGGTCCAGGGAGTGAGGCACCGCGGGGATCTGAGGTAGACCTCGCCGTCCGTGGGGGGCTGCGATCTGCGATACTGTCGCCACTTTCGAGGGCTGCTGGTGAGGCCCCGCGGGGATCTGAGGTAGACCTCGCCGTCCCTGGGCGGCTGCGATCTGCGACACCGTCGCCACTTTCGAAGGCTGCTGGTGGGTCCAGCGGAGTGAGGCACCGCGGGGACCTGAGCGAGACCTCGCCGTCCTTGGGGGGGGCTGCGTTAGTAACCACTACGACGCCCTTCTATCTTGATCGGGGGCCTGCGAGCCTTCCGATTGTTTCTCGCAGAATCACAGGCGTCCATGTTACGTCATCGCCCCCGTTGTAGCAATCCTGATGTACTTATGCCCCGCATTGCGCAAGGGTTGGGTACGTCGCCAGGGCACTTGTTCTGAGATCCTCGCGCAGTTCTATGAGGATTTGTACGCGAGTGCCTGGGACGTGAACGGGGAGGATTATTATGTGGTTTGCAGCGGCGGCCCCGCATTCCCGTGTTCACAGCAAGGGAACTTCACGACGCAATTCAACACATGTAAATTGTAAAGTGCGGAGAAGAAAGGCATCTGCGCCGAAATGTCGCGCATGGACAGCCAGCTCTTGAGACAGCTTGGACACGTTCAATGCGATACTCGATAGTCGTGAACATCTTCCGGCTGATTGGCTGGAGTCGAAGATCATGATCATGCGCATGAGGACGTTGCATTGTTTTACCAGCCGATCGACATGTTCAACACATTGCACAAATTATTTGGCCGACGTGCGTGGCCTACCATCGACCATCTGATGCGCATGGCCCTCGCAACCGAGGCTTGCACGATACAGCGTGGAGCTACGCGTGGACTGGACACTTGTCGAGACAGCGTTTGACACCGTAGAACACCACACGTTCTGGACAGACCTGCGTGAACATATATATATATATATATATATGTATATATACATATATATATATATATATATATATATATTCCTCTTCCTATATTTTTATAAGCCCGGGCGGGGGGAAAACCCATCACCCCCCCCCAAAAAAAAAACCGGACTCCCGGGACCTGGGGCTTTGGGGCCCTCCGGACGGGCCTCGAAGCGGCCACCGGGCCTCGCAAGGCGTTTTGCCAAGCCTTCCCAGCGCACTTAGGGCGATCAGGGGGTCATCGGAGACGTCCCAGAGACCCCCAAGACAGCACAAGAGCGCTCCAAGAGTGACCGACGTGACCTCAAGATGGCCCAAGAGGCCTCCAGGACGGCCCCAAAGAGGCCTCCAAGAGCACTCCCAAGAAGGCCCCCCGAGGCAAAAATCATTGATTTTCTGTGCGTTTTGGTGAATTTTGGGGTTCTCCTCTTTTCGGCTTCCCGACGCTCCAAGACGGCGGTCTTCTGGGCGTCCGAAGCCGCTTGGGAGGCTCCCAAATCGCCCCACAACCATGCGAAAGGGCTTCCAGGCAGCCCAAGAGAGCCCCAAAACGGTACAACACGGGTCCAAGATGGCCCTCAGAGAGCCCCATGGCGGCCCAAGATGGCCCAAAGACACCCTCCGAAGAATTCCAAATCGTGATCCGGTCGTTCAGGGAGACGGCGGTCGGAGGCAGGGTGGCCCGAGGAAGCCCCCAGAGGCCCCCAGAATGCGCCCAGGAGGCCTCCAGAAGGCCTTAAGAAAACCCGAAACAATTTTTGCGAGCCCCCTAGAGGCTCTCCAAGGAGGAGCCTCCGCAAAAAAAAACTGAGGAGGATGGGGAGAATGCGCAGTGTATGGCGAAAATAAGGAACAATAAGCATGGAGGAAGGATAACGAATAACATCATTATAGCGGCGATGCCGGAAAAGGCAACCAGGAGTTATCGCTAAATTGTCGGCTTGACCTTCCTGCCATTCCGCCTGCATACCAAATTTCAAGGACCAAGGTGCATGGCGCGAAGCGCCACCGCAGTCTTGTATATATATATATGTATACATATATCTATATATATATATATATGTATATCTATATATATATATACATATATACCTATATATATATAGATAGATATCAACATTACACGTCGACTTGCTGACGTGGCTGGACCAGCGGCAAAGGGCAGGAGATGCGGCAGGCGACAGCGAATGCTGGTTGGGGTGTTTGTGGGGGGTGGGGTGGGGGGGGCAGGCGACACGAGCCGGTTTTCCGACATTACCCGCGGGACGACGCAGGGTGACCCCACCAAGATTTTCTTGCCCATCGTGGGGATGGAATACATATTTCTGGCGTTGGAACAGAGATATAACAGTGTGAACACCAAACGTTCCAGCAAGTACTACGGCGTTGTCGCGGACGTTCCGAAGCACCCGTTCCCGGATATGTGGTTCGCTGACGACGTCATCAGTTTATGCACCAGCCAGCGGGGATTCTACATGATTCGTAGATTTGGTGACAGATGTGTCTAAGTACAGTCTCAAGGTGCACATGGGTACAACAGTAATCCTCACACATACGCTCCCTTGGCCGACAAGTGTCCGGCATAAAAGCGTGATGTTCGCGTGCTACATTTTGGCGAATCCGAGAAGTATTTGATTTGGGCCTAGGTCTGATATCACTGGACGAGTAGCACCACAAAAATTTGGCCAACCGAATTTCTGCAGGCTGGGCATCCTTCACACGCTTGGAAGAAGCTTTCTGCAACCGGCGACTCTCTCTGCACCGCCGGTTGCAGCTGTTCGCCGCGTGAGTCACGTCGTGCGCAATGTACGTTGCAGGCGCGTGGACGTTCAAGGTCGACCGATGAAAACGGTCGGGTATGCTCAGCGAATGAAATTGTGGCGACGTATGGTTGGCACGAACATGCAACCCGACGAGCCGTGGGTCGGCTTCAATTGAGAGATCCACCCACGCCTGCGCAGAGATGTTGACGAAGTTGGACGCGCAGGAGCGGGCGTCGCTGTTTGGAGGCAGTGCTTGGGAAGATCAGTACTTGCACCATTGTAGGAGATGGAGTGCACGACTCATGGGCAGAAACCATGGCATCGCTTCGCAGTTAAGTCTGGGGATGATGTTTTAGCATGTTTTGACCATTCCCGTGGACGTTTGGACTAATTTTTCAATTTTCGCTCCAAATCCGCTTGTAGGGGGACAGGCCCGACTTACACATGGTGGACAATGTCGCAACAGACCGTTCACACGG